CATATATACACATATTTTTACATGTCTACACATATTTTTATGTGTTTACACATATATTTCGCATATAAAAATGTCTTATACTTTGAGATATCTATAGAGAAACAAAATATAAAAATAAAAAATTAGGAAAGACCATATATAACGGATCGGATACACGGATAAACGGTTATTTAAACGGATGTCAATGCGGAGCGGATTATAAACGGATCGGATGTATGATTACCAAATCCGTATCCGTTTAGCAATCGGATATCCTTAATCGGATACGGATAATAACCGTTTTTAACGGATGCGGATATTTTCTATATAAACGGATACGGATGCGGACGGTAATCGAATTTTCGGTTATCCGTTTACAGCCCTAAATGGCATTTTATCTTGCTTTCATTCTTGAGAAAATTTAAGAAAATAGGTTTAAAAATTACGGAGTAATATAAGTGATTAAAATTTAAGATAAAGAAGTTAATAGAGCTAAAATGATTGGTTTTATGCTATGTTTGGCAATCAATTTAGAGTTTAGACTCAACATCATTTTGAAAATGTTATCAAACGACAACTTCGGCATTTTCTGACTTTGTCATTGACGGACGTTAAATACAAACTATATTCCCAAATGTTTTACTCCCATCTTCCAAAAATAGAATGGGTATTATGATTTATGATATTTGATTAAAAAAAATTTATTTAATTTATTTTAGAATTGGTATAAAATTAAAAATTGTAATCTTTATAAATTACATTAAAAAAATCTGTAAATCAAATTTAAATTTAATATATACTCCGTAATATCTTATCAAATAATTAACAAAAATTAAATTTAAAAATGAGTAAAAGCTGACTCGATAATGATAACTATCTCTTTTATTTTGGGACAGAGGAAATACTCTCTTTGTTAAAAAGAGAATGTAAATGTTCACAATTCAAAAGTCCAGGGACTTTTTCTTATTTGTATATTTTCATCGATTATTTGATAAAATAAAATATTATATATTGTCAACTCTTTTTTGAATAATTCTTTATGTATTTTAAGTATGTCAATTTTATTTTTTATTTCTAAACCAATCTTTTAAATTAATAGAATTGAAAAAATTAAAATTTCACTTCATTTTGTGTAATGTGACAAATATTTTGGGACAAAGATTGGTGAAAAAATATACTATAGATCGAGTAATAAGACCATGTTCTTAACAATCCACTGTAGCTTTTTTCTAACTTTTTCTAGTTTCTTCTAAGTTCTAGCAACAACATGAAAATTGATTTATATATTATGAATATACAATAACATTATGTATCCAAATTTAACTTAACACCTCAAACAAAAGACAAAGATGAATTCTTTTTAATATCTAAAATTTGTTTTCTTACATATTTATTTGAATGATCATTTAATTAGGTGATTCTTTCAACACTTTTTTTTTAAAAAAATATTTTCTAACTCTTTCCAATTATTTCTAACTTTTTCCAATCTCTTTCAAACTTTTGATGTTTGTTTTACTTTTTCGAACATCCCACTGTGAAATTCCAATAAAAAATAAGAACAAGTGTGGATAATTTTCATGAACTACAATAGGGGCAGAGGGCAGGGCGCCAGCTCTTGCTAACCCCCTTCATATTTAAAATAGCTGGAAGTGTGGGGCCTAATGAAAATGGCGTGTAACAGAGGGGTCAGATTTGTATTTTATACTCCTTCACTCCGGAATTAAATTACAATTTTTAATTTGTTTTTTTCGATAACTTTTATTTATTGGTACGTTTTTATAAGCATTTGATAAAATAAAATAACGTTTCACCTCTCGTCTAGTAGAACTTTTGACGTAATTTTTTCAAATGTAATTTTTATTTCTTATTAATAGTCAATTTATAAGTCAAATGATTTCAAAAGACGACAGACCAAATTAGGTATTTCACTCCCTCTCGTAGACTAGGTTTGGAACTTGGAAGTGAAGATTCGGTGTTCCACAATTTGATCACGTGGTGGGTCCCGTCTACGGTTTTTGTTTTTATTATTGAAACTACACCATTATTGTATTGTCAATTGTCTACTTGCTTAGCATTTCTATTAGGCCATGAAATCATCATATTGAACAATTGTATCTATCCACAAAATCATCACATTCTTTTAAACAAAATTCAAAATTGTGATTCTTTTTTTAAAAAATTCCAGTTTATCTACAGTTTGGACCATGAAATATTGTAACTAGGGTCAAATCTTAAAAAATAAATAAACTTGGAGTTAGATGTCACTATTTTAATATTGACTAGATCTTAAAGTGTCATTAGCTCGGAAAAAAACATCCCTATTCTTGAATTTCAAGTAGGAACAAGGTCTGCATATACATACGATCAGAGCACCGTAAGTGCTCCAACTAAATTAAGTAATAATTTTACACCAAATATTTGGTGTAACAATCTTATACCCAATTATCAAGAAAAATGCACACACAATTAATCAAATCACCAGACACATTATATTGGACGACATAAAAAAATGCTTGGCAAGCCAATATTTCTTGATCCTATAACACGGCCTTCCCACAATTGCTCTTTTCAAACACAATACTTTTTGTCTCGATGGAGCGTCTTCCATGTCACACATTTTTTGGGCACGTTCTTTATGTTGCGTTCTTGTACCAGTTGATTGCCTTCTCATAAAATGTATGTGCCTAGATTTGAAAAAATTATAAACCTCCAAGCAAAAAATAAAAAAAAAAGAAAAGGAAAAAGAGAAAGCAAAGATAGCAACCGAAAGTGAAAAGTATATATATTATACAACATAGAGGAAATTCCATAAAAGGTTTCCAATTATAGATCGTTTTACATATTTAGTCCCTTGATACGACTCTGGCCGTCAGGGGCGGATCCACTCTTCATCTAATGGGGGCACTTGCCCCCAATGAAATTTTGTTCTTATTTAATTAATACATTAAGATTTCCCTAAAAATTAATATTGCCCCCAATAAAAAAATAATTTGCCCCCAATGAAAAAAATGTTCAAATAGAAAAATGAATTATTTAGACTTTTTTGAAATGAATAAATTATTTTTTAAACTAAAAATAAAAGAATTTCAAAATTAAAATTAAGCTATAATATTAACTACGGAGTAGAAGATAATTCAAAAATAAAAACTATAAGAGAAAGTAAAATTATAGAGAGTGCTTTTGAGATTTTTCATTAATCATTTGAATGTTTTATTTTATTTTTTTTATAATTTACTTTGATTTTAAAAAAATATTGTTATTTTTTAAAAAATTTACATTAGAAAATAACTTATGTTTGAGTCCTATTCCGTGCAAATTTTCACTTTAAAAAATGGGACACTACCCTCGAACTTTCGTATTACTCTTGCCCCCAGTCGCTCCAAATCCTGGATCCGCCAGTGCTGGCCGTCCCGCATGAAGAGGAAGCTCACGACCCCGTCCCTGCCACGTCGGGTCGCCCAAAGAGGAATGTTCGTCCGCCAACAAAGTATCAAGATTATGTTTAATTATTTTTTCCGTTCGTTATTTTCCATTATTGTATTTAGATTTTCTTAGGTGAGCGTAGTTAGAAGCTCCTTCGAGGGTTTCTTTTTAGTTCTTTATCTCGTCGCTTTTTTTTTAATCGACAGGATAGATAACATAGTTCCAGTAGGATTAGGACTCATTGTCTTCTATAAAAGGAGGGTTTACCTTCCTCACAAATATCAATAACAAAGAAGTCCTCTCCTAATCTCTCTCTTATTTTCTCTCTCTCTCCCCCCTTTCGTCCCTCATCTCAGCCGAAACCCTAGGGGTTTCCCTCCTTGGCCGTGAACCTCCCTAGCTGCCCAAACGGTTGACGTTTTGTGGTTTTGCTCGGCTTCACGATATCATCCCTACATATCAAATATTACTAATTTAGTCCTCAATTATTATATTCATTTTCACAAATGGTCCTTTATTAAATTTTCGTTAAGAACGTGGATAAAATTGTAAATTCACACTTTTTTCTCTCCTCAATTAAGCTTCCTCCCTTCTCTCGTACTCTTTCCCAAACTCGTCGCTGAGTTTGAAGCTCCAAACCCAAAACTGAAATGATCATTTCTCTCTCAATTATTAGTCTTCCTGGTGGAACCTAAATTCAAAACCAATAAGTTTTATGAATGAGTTTTATCGCTTAGTCTCAAGAAATTGCAAAGAAATAAACATTAAAACTCATCCATGAAGGTTACTGGTTTCGAATTTGGATTCCACCAGTTAGACAAACAGTTGAGAGAAGAGTGATGATTTCAGTTTTGGGTTCAAAGCTTCAAACTCAACGACGGATTTGGGAAAGGAGTGCGAGAGGAGGGACGAAGCTTAATTGAGGAAAGAAAAGAGTTTGAGTTTATAATTTTATCCACGTTCTTAACAGAAATGTTGACAAAGGACCATTCGTGGAAATGAATATAATAATTGGGGACTAAATTAGTAATATTTGATATGAAAGAACTAAATATGTAAAACGACCTATAAATGGAGACCGTTTATGGAATTTACTCTACAATATATATATAAGAAGAAAACATACCGTTTGTTATCTGAGCCTCCCTTTGATGCAACTTGTTGGGAGGGAGTTAAATGGACCATTGCTAAAATTTAAAGGATAAAATTTGAATGGTTCAAAACTCAAATGTACTCCATCCGTCCGAAAATGTTCTTCCTATTTGACTTTTCAGGGTTTTCAAGATTGCACTTTGAGCTTTGACCGCTAATATCTTTTTTTATATATAAATATATTTTATAAAAGTTGATATTTGAAAACTACGTTTCAATAGAAATATATTAATATTAAAGTTATATCATAATACAATATATTTTTTTCACATATCAGAATCAAAGTTTACAAACTTTGAGCAATAAAAGTAAAATGAGAAGAACATTTCTTAATGAAGGAAATATATATTAAGAGTGTAACACCTTTTCTCAAAAAAGGTGAAAGGTATTCAAACTCTATGGTTAAAAGAATTACGATCCACAATTAGTGTAAACAATCACGGATTGTGATCTAAATGGAAAGTTTGGCCCAATAGAATGGGCAAAGCATCTTGGGCCTACTTTTGTACTGGGCCACTATGATTCATCTCACCCGGGTTTCCCTTGTGGATTGAATGGGCTAAGCATCTTGGGCCTAAATGCGGATAATCGAACATGATAATAAATAGGCTAAATAAAAAGATCCTCCTAAAAGCAGAAGTTACATTTTCTCCTGGTGGCTTGAAGCTTCATGTTGCTTTTAACTGATTTGGCATCATCAACATATGGTGTAGATTCTCCAACTTCACCCTTCTTATCCTACATTCAAAGTTCTTTTTAAAATATATATACTAATAGATTTTATCGAATCAATTGTGTACCTAAATTCAAACAAAGACTTATTAATCATATTTTTTCTTCTAATTTTTTGGTGTGTGAAGTGTGATACTTCAACACTTAAAAATCATATTTTTACCTTATTTGTCTTTGCTTTGAGTATGGCTTCCTTGCATACAAGCTCATGTTGAAGGGCCTTAACCTGCAAATTTAAAGACATTAACCAATTGGAAATCACTAAGAGTCCGTTTGCTATACAGAATTGATGGAATTGGAATTGAAATTCCATGGGATTCAATTCCATAGAATTGAATTCACCAATTCCAATTCATTTTTTGCATTATCAATTCCAAATCCACATAATTTTTGTGCTACCAAACACCAGAATTGGAATTGAAGTCTTCAATTCCAATTTCATAGTTTGAATTCCGTGAACCAAACGGGGCCTAAAAAAAATGTCCCAAGATTCAAATGGCTTAAAAAGCAACAAAAGAGATATATCCTACCTTTTCTTTATTAAAGTGAAGTTCCTAGAAGAATCAATCCAAAGGGTTGCAAACAATCAAACACAACCACATCATAGAATTTTGAATTCAAGATTTTGCACTATTTTTACTAAAAAAAGAACACTAACCGCCGCCATGTGAGTGTTGGATTGAGCAAGTTTCCAGTTCTGCAGCTGCACTTTCTGAGCACCCAGTTTCAGTTTCCTCATCAGATGTCTGAGAACCTCTTCCTCACAATGCTGCCAATGGATGATGATGATGATGATCTTTTCACCATTATTATATTCTCTTTGGAGACTCTCTTCTGATTTGCTTGCTGCTGGTACACACAAATGGTTTTCATATGGGAATATGGGGATGGTTAAATAGTACTGTAAAAAGGGGGGGTAAAAGAGTGGCGGGAAATATGGGGATTTGAATGGAGGGGGGATGGAAGCGTAAAGCTATGCCATCTGCTGGGTAAATTGAAGACAGGGAAAAAAGTTCAATGGTTTTGGATTTTGGCGCGGGTGAGTTTTCAAATGGCAAAAAGCTATTAAAAAAAAAAAGAATTTTAAAATTAATTTTAAGGGAAAAAATAAATAAAAAGGGTTCCGACCTGCCGGATTCGAACCAGCGACCTAAGGATATCAGCCTTCATACTACAGTCCTCCGCTCTGCCAACTGAGCTAAGGTCGGGTTGTGACATGTAGCTCTTGTGTATTCCTTTAAATCATTATACTTTGAAAAACATAAATATTGTACTGCAATTTCTAGTTTTCAATTGCAACCTTATGAAAAATTTAACAGTTGAGATTATAAGATATTTTTTTCTCGAAAGAAATCTTATGTCAGACTATTTATATTATTCAAAACAATGCCATCTAAGACACATATAAATGCTTAGAAATTACATAAAACATTTATAGCTTTAGTACAAGTCAAACAGAGAAACATAAATTTAATTTTAAATTATTTCATGTTCACCAAATTTTAGTTAGTTTTAGCTTATATTCCATTCATCTCATAATCATCTTTTTGTACTTTCTTTCTAAGAAAAAAATTACCACAATTTATTAAAAATCGTGACAATTGCTTGCTAGAAATTAAGTATGAGACAAATGGAGTAAGTAATAGTCATTGGAACTATTTTTTTCAACTTCCCCTTTTGTTCAATCCTATTAATTCATTCAAAAAGAAGATTGCACTCCAAAGATTTCCCTATTTACTTGAACACATTTTTTGTTCATGGACCTATCTATTCCCCCCAACCCTTTATACAGACCTCAGCACACAAACTCATACTTGGAGATGATAACTAACATAACAACACAATGGCACCATTGACAAATGTTCTAACTAAATTGCTCAACTATTGCATCAATGGGTAAAGACCCGAACGGGAGTTCTGATTCCGGGACAACGCCAAGCAAGTCATCATTGATAAGCTCCTCCCCGTCCGAATCACCACCACCACCACCGCCACTGCCACCACCACCACCGCCACCACCACTGCCACCACCAAATGTATTGACAGGGTATGAGTGATTCATGGCCTGCAAAGTGCCTTCGAATTCCTCCACCCTCTTCAAAAGATCATCTGGTTCAAGATTTATCTCATCTAGCAGCAATGCCGTTCCTGAATCAACCGCTCCCTGCCATAGGGTTGCCATTCTTGGGCTCACTTCACTTATAGTTCCTGAAAATATCATAACAATGTGGTTCGCCGTCATCAAAAGAATCCAGGGCAAAAAAGTCTTTATACCAAGAATAACTAAGAGGGAGCAAAACAACCATTTCCATGTTCTTTTACCTGGAGATCTTACGCAGACAGTATCATCAGCAACACGAATATGGGAATAATTTTTGTGTCTCGGCTTCCAATCATTTCCCCTCCACATCAGCACTTGTTCTTCATCAAATGATAGCAGCACACACGGTACCAATTCCTGCCAAACGAAGAAATGAAAACCAGAGCCGATGTGGTTGAAAAAGAGACACCATACGACAGACTTATTTTCCACTGCATGAGTGGGAGAAAATGATTGGATTCAGACCTTTAGCTTGGCGCCTAACTTCTTGTAGTCACGAGCATGCAACCCTTTGCAATCAATCTTCACTAATGGAGAAACTTCAAAGGCGTCCCTTACATCCTTCACAAGGTCAACATAGACCCCATTTTTCCCTATGTTGGTTAGAAAAGAAATCTCACTAGGGTCAGTACTTTAAGGATGTTTTTTAAAAAAAGTGCAGTAAGAGCCCGTCGCGAGGGCATGCACAAAACCTTTCTACTTTCCCCTTCTTTTTCGATGTGTTTTAGGTATACGGATAAAGGGATGATAGTAGAAAGAAAATGCACAAAGATTCCCAGGGACATTGTAGTAAAAAGCTTTCAATTTGGGGGGAAAAGATTAATATTGGAGCTCCAAGAATGACCCATTCCAAATCCTAAATTCTATCAATCCTAAAAAGGAATCCTACATCGACATAAGAAACTAATTTTCATAGAATTTAATGTTGGATTTGTTTGGGAACAAAATTTTAATAGCATAGGTTAACCATGAAAATGCAAAAACCTACCCATTAAATAACATTTTCAAAACACTAATTTTAATGCCAAACAAAGCCGTAATCTTCCGGACAAACGGATGGAGAATCTGATAAGAAAACATAGCAACTTGAATACCTAATTTACATATAGGGAGCAACTTTTTCCCTTTTTCTCGAAATTCATCGGCTTCTTGTTTGGTTAATCCTTGTGGAACTTCCTGTATAAGCTTTGGATAAACCGGTGCAGCTGGTTTCCATAGCATCACTGGTAACTGTGGACGGAGATGATGAACATAGTTCCTCCCCCGAAAAACATAAACCACAGCACCAACTCTGTAAATTACTTTTCCACCAGTCTTCTCCTGATAGCAACAACAACAAGAAGCCAATGAAACCCCACAAAAGTCATAATTATAATAAGTTCGTTCATCAAACCGTGTGTTTTGAAAGCATGATGGAATTATAATCTATGCCAGGAGTATGAATAAGCAAAACAACCTCAATGCAGCGGCATATGTTGTCCATATCAACAGTTGGGACACCTAAACAGCGTACTTTGCAAACTGGTAATCTTCTCCAGTGAGTATGTATCAACTCCAACATGTTGTGGGTTAATCCATCCCGCCCTGTTCACATAGGATGAAGATTGTCAACAGCAGGCTGAATACTAATTCAATCATAAGCAATTGTAGAAGATAAAACAAGGGTTCAAAAAAAGCTCTATAATTTCAAGAAATTGCAGTAATATAAACATACTTACCAAGATTAACCTGTTTGTTACTAGATATTCGAGGTTGCAGAAGTTCTTTAATTTCATCTCTTGTTAATGGCGGCCCCAATACCTCATTCCTCGGCCTCACCATATACTTCCCAAGCTCATAAGCTTTCAACATTTCGTAGTGATATTGTTTGGCATCGTTTCCATCTTTGGGATCCAATGGTCCGAAGAGCTTAATATTCCGCTTGGATTTTTTGGCCGGAGCTTTTCCGGTCCACGGTCGAGGCATGGTGGGCGGCGCGAAGGGCAAGACAGCCGGTTCCCGGATTGCCAGGGGCTGGACCTTAGGCGTCTCGGAATAGCTGTACTGGAACTCGAATGGGGCGCCGGGGAGGCGGTAGGAAACGCCGGACTCGCCGACGATGACGGCGCGATCGCCGTCGGCCGAGATGACTTCGCCGGGCTTAACGGGTTTCCGGTAATTGGAGGTGAGAGTGGCGATCGAGAAGGCCGGGATCTGATTGGGCTCCTGATGAGGTTTTTGTTCGTTGTTCGCACGCTTTTGGGACCTTAGAGGAGGTGGGTACTTGGGAACGGGGATGGGGGGTTTTGGCGGCGCGGTACTGCGGTGGCGGGAGTCGCCGGGAGACTGCCGCGGCGCGGTGGTGGGGAGATTGGAAAAGAGGTCGAAGCCCGGCAGTGTTGCTAGAATTGCCATCTGGTCATTACTCCTAATTCTTACCGGGTAATTCTCATTACACCGTGTTTGGCTCGAATGGAGGGGGAGGAATGTGTTTCAACCCCTGTCATGACCGTACCGAACCGGACCGAAACCGAAAAAATCTAAAAATCGAGATTGGGACCGAAAGCAAGACCTGTAAGATTTCGATCCGGACAGGTCTGGTCTTACTCCCCCGTCCCATGAAGATGGGTACGTTTTGACTAAAGTAGAAATTAAGGGAGAAATAATTTTGTGTTGACTTTCCAAAAATACCCTTGATGTGATGGATAAAAGTATGATGTGATGTGTATGTTATTAGAAAAAAGATATGATGTGATAGGTAGGGTTTGAAAAAGTAAGGGGTAAAAGTGGTTTTTTAATAGAAATGGGTAAGGGATTGTGGGACACAATCTTTTTGAAATGTGTAAATCTTTTTGGGACGGAGGGAGTATTTTTCTGGCCCGGTCTGGGTAAAAATCAGAAAATCTAGAATTTATTTTTTTTGTCAAAATTTTTAACTTGTTTTTGACAATGTAGTTGGATTTGAATTGATTTCAACCATGCTCCTAGTTTTTATATCCATTGGACATGTTTCAAGAAACTACATTAATATATAACATACGGAGTATTTTAATCCACAATGTGATAAGTTTAAAATGAGTTTATATTTCTGTTATTTTAATCCACAATGTGAAAATTCACATTGTTTTTTACTAACGCTTTGAGTCGCACACACACTCATCATCTTTTAATTTTTGACGCATTCACGATCCCGCACTCGCACTCCTTTCCCTTACGCAATCCGCTTTATGTGGTCTACGGTCAAATAGTCAATTATAATCTTTTGAAATAATAAGATTTTAAGAAATGATCTTACCGCGTAGTCTGACCTAAAGCAAATTAAAGAAGGATAAATTTTCCATTTTTTCTTCACTGGGCCTTCTTGGTCTTTGTTTTCTTTTTCTTTGAGTCCCAATGGTGATGCCTTTGTGTGACCTCCATTCATATTATCCTTCATTTTCGCGGACTGTTTTTTCCCTTTAATTTTCTTGACCGTATGAAACACTTATTGTCAAACTATTAGTGTCAAACCTGTGGTGTTTCTTGATGTATTATTTTTCCCTATAAATATTCAGGCCACACCTCAACATCTTTGTCACTAGCTCCAAAACATATAGCGTAGTAATAATATAATGGCACAAACTTCGTTTATGTGGTGGCCGGTGGTAGTGGCTCTAGTTTTAGTTTGTTGTCCCGCCCGACAAGAAGCGGCAAATGGAGCTAATACGGCCACCTCAACAGCGGCTATGCGAGAAGCCGAGAAGATGATCAAGGGACTCAACTTATCCCCTTCGCACAAATTCAATTGGGGCCCATCGGGTACCTCTCTAGCCAGTCGGTTTGATTCAAACGAATCGACTGCGCTAGTCGAGAAAGTCTTTAAAATTGATTCTCTTGCGGATGATCCTGTTATTCAAAGCTTGGGTCGTCACCATGTTGGTTATTATAAGCTCCCAACCGCCGCCCAAGCAAGGTATGTATGAGTTTTGATACTCGCGGTATCTTTTTTTTTTTAAACTCATATTCTTATTGATCATTAGATAAAATAATACTCGCTCAATTCTTAAGTATTTGTCTGCTTTTGACTTTTTTCAATCAAAATTAGTAAATTTTGACTTCAAATTAAATAAAAACGATACTAGATATTGATGCAAAAATAATTTTATTAGATTTATTATATGAAATATTTTTAAAATAATATTTTATCTAACTAATATACAACACATATTTTATTTAATAATAGGTCAATGTTAAAAAAAGACTGATTGAAAAAAGTCAAAACTGGACAAATATTTAGAAACAGAGGTAGTAATATAATAATTTCACTTCATTTGAGACTCGAAATATTGAAAAAGAACATGCTATGACTTTATAAACTTATGTATCGTCAAATTGGCCACTTTCAAATTAAAATAATTTGGGAGATGCTAGGGGTACACTAAAGGTGTACCCCATTTATCCCCTACCCCCTCCATAACTACTTATTTGTATTTAGTTTTTATTTACTTATTTTTTTTAATTTTTCTTGCCTATTTGAGTGGGTATGGAGGGGGTGAGGGACAAATGGGTACACTAAAGGTGTACCCCTAAGATTTTCCAAATAATTTTGGTGGTATACCAGAACTGCCAACTCATATATATATTCATTATGGAAGAGAGATCAAAGTAAGATTAAAACATTAAAAATATACCAAAATAGGACATGCTTTTATTCCCGAAATAAAGTTTACATCACCAAACATAGTCATGTACATTACCAAAAAAGTTTAGTAATATGCACATGTACAGTTTTACATTACCACAGTTGAACGTCCTTTTTCAGGAAAAAAAATATGAAAGTCCTATTTTGGTACTTTTCTATATGTTTTGGTCCTATTTAGAGTGATTTCTATATTCACTATTTAATCTACCAATGACATTCAATTTTACCCTACTACTCTCTCTGTCTAACAATAATTTTCCTATTGCACATTATGATATTTGACTAAAGTTATTTTTAACTCATTTTATAAGAATAATTGTGTTAAATTAAAAAATAAATATAAATATTTAAAAATTACGGAGTATATCAAAAGACCTAGAAAGATAGAAGAGACATGACTATATATCATTTTATCAAATGAGCATCAAAAATAGACCAACAAAGTATGTAAAGTTTAATTTGACAATGTGAATAGTAATTGGAATTATTATTTTTAGACCGAGAGAGTATAAAATAAAGATAGGATAGGAAACTAATACTAAAATTACACATCCCTTAAATCCAACATTTTTTTAAAGTGGAAATGTTCATGTGGAACAATGGTTTTTGTTATGGACTAGCAGGATGTTCTACTATTTCTTTGAATCAAGAACCAACCAGAGTCAACCATTGGTAATATGGTTGAGTGGTGGGCCGGGATGCAGTAGTGCATTGGCTTTGTTTTACGAGAATGGGCCTTTTCAAATTGCTAAAAACATGTCACTTGTATGGAATTATTATGGTTGGGACAAGGTATTCTTCAATTACCCATCTCTCATGTCATTATCACCATACATGATAGTCATCAATTTACTCCCTCCGTCCCGTGAAACATGGGACATTTGCTTTTTAGGAGGGATTTAAGGGAGTGTATTTTGGTATTGAATTTCCAAAAATGTCCTTTGATGTGATGTGTAAAAGTACGATTTGATGGATAGATTATTAGTCTAAAGATATGATGTGATAGTTAGGGTATGAAAAAGTAAGGGGTAAAAGTGACTTTTTAATAGAAATGAGAAGTGTTTTGTGGGACGGATAAAGAAAGAAAGAGGAAAGGTTTCACGGGACGGAGGGAGTATATTATTCCCTCCCTCCCACATTTCTAGTTTTGATTTTTAAAGAATCTATTAGGAGAGTATTTTAGTGTTTATTTTCTAAAAATAGCCTTAGATGTAATATATAAAGTAGGATGTGATGAGTAGATTAATAATGAAAATGTGTGACGTGATATGGATATTAATAATTAGTATGGGCACTTTAAATATAAATAAGAAAGGTTTTTAGGACGGATGAAATAACAAAGAAGAAAGGTTTTGTGAGATGGTTGAAGTAAAAAATACCCAGAGTAAGAAAATGATTAATTATCCCATATATGATATCATCAATCTCATAACACTACACTCCAAATTTACTCCCTCGTCCCTAATTAGTTGGTCTCTTTACTATTTCAGGCTTCAGATAACTTTTGTCTGCATTTCATTAGTCATTTAATAAATTAGGCATGCCATCACTTGTTTTGCAAAACTTTTGATGCAGTTTACTAGTTTTTGAATACGTAAGATGTATTTTTTATTTCTATATTATATCGTAAATAAAATTATTTTTAAAAAATAAAATTTTACGCATTATTCGAAAACGACGATGATTTGGAGACATAAAGGAGTACATGATTTGATTGAATTGGGAAATGTATGGCTCGTGACAATTTTTTTGGGTAGGTTTCCAATATTATCTTCATTGATCAACCAACGGGAACTGGATTCAGCTATAGTTCTAGTAAGAAGGACATTCGATACGATGAAAGTGGCATTAGCAATGACCTCTATGCATTTTTACAGGTCTGCAACTACAATCTATCATTCATTCTATTGTACCCTTTGGTTTATATTATGGCTCCGTTTGGTATACGAAATTCAAATTTTGGAATTAGAGAAAACAACTACTCCATTCGTCCTAATTTAAATTACATGTTTCGTTTTACGATGTTTGACTAAAGTTATTTTCACATTATTTTATATGAAAAACGGTGCAGAATTAAAAAAAATACAGCATTTAAAAATTACATCAAAAGATTTACAAAACTTGTTGTGACATAGCTATATTATTTTATAAAATGTGTGACGTGATATGGATATTAATAATTAGTATGGGCACTTTAAATATAAATAAGAAAGGTTTTTAGGACGGATGGAATAACAAAGAAGAAAGGTTTTGTGAGATGGTTAGTGTAAATTTGGAATGGTTAGTGTCAAAAATAAATTAAAATTACAGAATTCAATTTCATCCACATTAAATCAATTTTATGAAATTTCAACTCCCAATTTAATTCTAATTCTATCAATTCCCTTCTGCCATAGTTATTCTTAAAATTATGTGAAATTTGCACTAAATAGGACTAAAACATAATGACTCTCCCAATGTAGGACTTAAACTTTTTTATTCTCTAAATAGGACTTAATAATGACCTAGTGGGAGGAATAATGTCCAGTAATGATGGACATTTAGTTGAATAATGACTACTTGATAATGAACTCCCAATTAACCTTTGGCCTTCAAATCAATTGGTAGGAGTTTTTGAAGGCTCACCCTGAGTTTGTGAAGAACGAGTTCTACATAACGGGCGAATCGTACGCGGGGCATTACATCCCCGCACTGGCCTCACGAATTCATCAAGCAAACAAGATGAAACGAGGCATTCGCATAAACCTCAAGGGAATGGCCATAGGCAATGGAATGACCAACCCAGAATTGCAATATGCAGCCTACCCTGACTTTGCCCTAACCCAAAAACTCATCACACAGCCTCTCTATCATAATCTCACCCTTTTGGTTCCCAGCTGCCAAGAAGCTGTAAGACAGTGTAACAAGAATATGGATGGCGGAAAATCTTGCCATTCGGCCTCCAACATTTGCCAAGATCAGATCTACGATCTTATCGAGGAAAACATGGGAAATAAAAATGTATGTACAAAATCCATCTTATTATCATCATCATCATCATCATTATAATTATCGATTTTGTACGTCCTCGACGTGTTACGTGCATGATCATTATAATTATAAATAACATAAACGTGTGCATGTATGCATGCATGCAGCGTTACGATGTCAGGAAGACTTGTGAAAGAGGGTTGCTCTGTTATGACTTTTCAAGCGTAGAGACTCTCCTGAACGACACGAGTGTAAAAATGGCACTTGGAGTTAATGAGCACATCGGTTTTGTTTCGTGTAGTGAGACCGTGTATGATGCAATGGCTTCGGACTGGTTTAAGGACCAATCACACGCCTTCCCACGTCTGCTTGAAGACGGCATCAAACTGCTGGTTTATGCTGGAGAATATGACCTTATTTGCAACTGGCTTGGTAAGTAAGCTTGTGTGCCATGATTTTTACTCCCTCCGTCCCAGTGTATTTGTCCAGTTTGACTTTTTTGGATAAAGTGTGTAATAATAATGAATGAATGTTGTCAGAGTGTCATCTCACATCGGAAGTCCAAGAGTAAAATAATCGTTATATAAGTTCTTGAGTTGAACTAACTAACTAATCAGCTCGATTCAATCTTTTAATGAGGTTTGACCCAAGTGTCTTATAGCCCGCCCAGTCCAAGTGATCCCTACCGTACCCCATTTTAAATTTTATCAACTGTGAAAACAAACAGGAAACTCGAGATGGGTAGAAGCTTTGGAGTGGTCAGGGAAGAGGGGGTTTGCGGGAGCCGCGAACGCGCGCTTTGTTGTGGATGGAGAGGTGAAGGGGACATTGAAGAGCTATGGAGCATTGACTTTCCTTAAGGTTCATGGTGCAGGTCACCTGGTTCCAATGGACCAGCCTAAGGCATCCCTAGAAATGCTTCATAGGTGGATGCAATCCCAGCTTTAATATACAATTTCTTGAAAACTACTCTACAAAAGAGTTGGCCTCTAGTGTGTTTCAATGTTATTAGAACCGGACCGGACCGGCCGGTCCAACCGGTCGGACCGCGAACCGGTGAAGAATCCGGTCCGGTTCAACTGTAAAAACCGGATCAACATTGACCCGCCCAAACTCGGTCGACCCGGCGGAACCGGTGAACCGGGTTGACCGGGCCGACCCGTGGGTTTCTTTCTAAAGTTTTTTATTTATTTTTTTTGCCTATAAAATAAAATGATGGGGATAGGGTTTGAACCCTAGACCTCACCATATAATTCTCCTAGTCTATAACCACTTAAGCTACTCAACACTTGTTAACAAAGTCATGCAAAATAGTATACATAGTGTTTTTTATTTGTGTTGAGTGAATTAGAAAAACTTCTAACTTCTAACTATTTGTAAGAAAGATCATGTCTGTGTTGTGTGATTATTTTATAATCTTTTAAAATATTTCAAAGTAAAAAAAATTATTTTTTATTAAATAATAATGAATAATGTATATCTAAACAAATATTACCATCTATAAAATGAAGAAATATGTACTAATTATAATAAAATATGGAAAGTGTGAAAGAGTATATGAACAATGACATTGAAAATAACATGAAGAAGAAAAAAATGTAACTTTAAATATTTTATTTAACATTGGCAATAACATTTACATCTTTCCTTAATATGTATGTCCGATTCAAATGAAAAGATTAAAATTAGACAGAGGGAGTATGTGCTTCGTATTATTTTGAAATAATATGCATATTTAAGTAATGTGATAATATTTTATTATCTTTAAAAATAGTCCACAAAATATTGTATTATTTAATTTTTTATTATCTAAACATAAATATGAATATTATATACCAAGTAATGGGTCGTTGACCGGGTCGTTGACCCGAGTCAACCCGGTTCGACCGGTTAGATTCTTGACCCAGTGGCTTGTCCGGTTCGATGTCCGGTCCGGTTTTCAAAACATTGGTCTGTTTTTATGGTTGAACAAACTTTATATTTGACGAGTTTATTATATTACCACATACGGAGTATGTGATATGTGTGTTTGTAACACAGAGCTATTAGCTATCTATATAGCGTGCTAGTTTTTGAATAATTTTTTTTGTACAATATTTGGTAAAGAAATTAGAGTACTACTCCCTCCGTCCCAAAAAGTTTTTCCTGTTTCATTTTTGGCGCATCCCATAAAACACTTATATCCCGCCTTGAATGCCAAAAAAACTTTCAAAATAACTTCTACTCACAATAAAGAAGAAATGTTTTAAATTTTAGGCATTTTAGATGTCGGTAGAAGTGTTTTATGAAATGCGCAAAAAATGAAACAGGAAAGACTTTTTGGGACAGAGGGAGTATATAGTTTACTCTATATTATTTTCTTGGTGGTGAATGTTGTGAATCGACCTCAATCAAATTGAAAATAATTATCGAAAATATAATAATCCAACTTTACTTGGTCTTTCAAAAATAATCTCATATTTCACTGCGATACATAATAATCCCGACTTTTTCTAAAATTAGCGAGTTTTGGGTCGCCGTTAACTTGCTAACATTGGGTTAACGGAAATGCATGTTTTATGCAACAAAAAGAAAGTTGAGATTATTTATTATGAATTTTTTTTTCTTTTTTTTTTTTTTGAATTTTTATTAAAAATTTTAAAATTACTTTCTACCTCCATTTCTTTTTCTTTTTTAAAGATTAATCTTCCCTTAGAAAAAAATAAAAAAATAGATATAAAAATAACGAAATGAGAAAAATAACTAAAACTATTCAAAATTAATTAAATAAATAAAATAATCATTAGAAATTATACTGAAACTAGTAAAAAATAAAATAAATATATATGGAGTGGTGGGCTTAAACGTTTTACGCAATATATAGAATCTTAATGTACTACTTTTGTTTTTGAAAGAATAGGCCGCTGATAAAGTTGGAATTATTCGAGATAATTTTTTCTAAAAAGAAGAAGTGGTATGAAAAAATTACTGCGGAGTACCCTAGATTTTGTGACAAAAACTGTCAGGTCCCATTGTTTTTTAAAATGTACTCTTGGCTACCTTAAAATATCAAAAAAGTTATCCCAGGGTGACATTCTGTCTCTTTCTCCGTCAATTTCCAGTTTCCGTTAACTTCTCCTTCTTTTTCCTCATTTTTGATCTTCTTCTTCTTCTCTCCTCTCCTCCTCCTCCTCCACCTTTGAATCTTATCCCGCCCCCATCCTCCCATTTTTTCTTCTTCTCTTTTTCCTTTTGAACTCTTTTTTCTTCTTACGTATTATTCTTATTATTATTATTATAATAAAAAATTTAATTAGTAGTTTTACCACTCTTATTCTTTTTTACTTCATATTTATTATTATTTCTTCTTATATTATTATTATTATTATTAATTACTCCATAATATTATTATTATTAATTATTACTATTATTATTAAAAATCAATTATTAGTTTTACTACTCCTTTTTTAAGAAAAATAACAGTAATAATTACTATTTACTTCTTATTGTTTTATTTTCTTCTATTGTTTTACTTTGTATACCCCCATTGACCTTTTCCAATTTCCAATTTTTCACTTCCGTAAAAGAAGGTTAAAATATTTTTAAGCTTTAATTAAAAATTAATTTTAGTATGATATATTCATGTATAGTTTATAAAATTAAGAGTATTTATTCACTTGGTTATAAATTATACGGAGTATGTCACATTTCATAATGGCGGCTATTGATGACTACTGCATGACTAATGCGAAAAGCAACATCGAATGACAAAAAAATAGAATAGTGAAAGTAATACTACGGGGTAATATTTTTTTAATAGTGATAATATGAAGTTATATTTTAAATAATAAGTGCTATTTTTATAAATAGTAATAATAAGTGTTATTTTTATTAAAAAAAGAGTACTAAAACTACTCATTAATTTTTAATAATAATAATAATAATTATATATTACTTTTATAGCATAAAAGTAAAATAATAAGAAGTAAATAATAATTAATACAAAGTAATAATAATAAGTACTATTATTTTTATAAAAAAGTATAGTAGTAAAATTACTAAATAATTGCTTTTAATAAATAATACTATTAATAATTATAAGTTTTTTTTATAATAAGTGATATTTTTCTAAATAACAATTAATAATTAGTTTTAATAATATTATTAATAATTATAAATAAAAATAATACTGAGTAATTAATAATAATAATATTGGATAGAGATGATCAAAGTGAGAGGAAAGTTTAGATATATGCCCATGACTCATGAGTACAAAATCAGAGAGGGGTATGACTGGCTACAAGGCACACGGGAGGTACCAAGATGGAAAGATACGGTGTGGAATGCGTTGACACCCCCTAAAATGCAGATTGTGACTTGGTTGCTAATGAAGGGAAAGACTGCAAACGAAAGCGAGAATAGGCAAATATCTTGAGATTGACCAAAACTGTACATTGTGTAGACAAGAGAAGGAAACTTGTTTCTACCTTAGTAGCTATTTTAATTATAAGAGGATGAGTTAAGTGTTGGTGTTTAAACCTCTTGTACTATGATTGATGTGGAATAAAAGATGTGCTTTTCTGCAAAAAATAATAATAATAATAATAGAATAAGAAAAAAAATAATAATAAATATGAAGTTATAAAATAAGTGCTACTCCACTATTTTTCTTAAAAATTAGAGTGGTAAAAATAGTAATTAATTTTAATAATAATAATTAATAATAATAATAATAATAATAATAATAGAATAAGAAGAAAAAAGAATTCAAAACAAAACAAAAATAGAAGAAGAAAAAGGGGAGGGTGGAGGGCTGGATGAGATCCGAAGGCGGAGGAGGGAGGGAGGGAAGAGAGAGGAGGGGGTGGAGGAGGAGATCGAAAATGGGGAGGAAAGAGAAGAAATTAACGAAGAATGGAGATTAACAGAGAAAGAGGCGGAATGTTACCCCTGAATAACTTTTTTGATATTTTAAGGTACCGCAGAGTACATTTTAAAAAATAATGAGACTTGACAATTTTTGTCACATAATCTAGGGTACCCCGCAGTAATTTTTTCTTAATATTTTGTATGGTACCTAAAATATTAATAGTTCAAGTGAACTTCTATTGATTACTTTATTTATTTTATTAATATTGTATCATTTTAATTACTTTTCTCATTTTCGTTATTTTTTATATTTGTTATTTTTATTTTTTAAAGTAAGACTAATCTTTAAAGAAAAAGAAATTATGGAGGTAGACAGTAATTTCAAAACTTTAAATAAGTGTCATAGTTTTAAGTTTACATTATAACTAAATATATTTTATCCACAATCCGCGTTCAAAAAGTGTCATAGTTTAACTAAAAAGTCAAACTGTAGCAATCTTTTAGGGACACAAGAATTGAAGTATAAAACAAGAGATAAAGTATTATAAACTAAAATTGTTTTGGATTAAAAACAATGGAAGTTATTTTTACATATGTATACATACATTAAAAATTACATTTATTTTTTTATAAAAAGCATTTACGAGTATATTTTATAATCCGCAGTATATTACAATTTGACACCACTCTTTATATCTCGGGTGCATAAGATAATTGAAGGGAAAAGCAAATAGGGCACGGGAGATTGGACCGCGCCCGCAGTAATCTGCGCCTCGTGTGAGGGGGCGTGTTAACTTGTTCATCCCACATCGGCAATGCAGTATTATATTGTGCTGCTATTTAATAGCTTGAGTACCTCAACCTCTTGAGTTAACTTTTGAGTTTGAATTGGGCATGTGCTGCTATTTAATAGAGATTGGTACGTACAGTGGCGGAGCCAGAATAAGATTGTTGGAGGGGCACCAACTACATTACATTACAGGGTTCGGTTCGAAGGGAACACCAACAAAATTTCCGAACACAACATAAAATGATAAAAGGATGTGCAAATATTTTTCCTTTCTAGGATGACAAACTTTTTATCTAATAGGGTATACTACGTATAAAATTTGACCATTACAATAATTCCAAATAAAATAATTTGGGTCCAGATTTTGATCATCAATAAATATACGAGTAATTTTTATAGATACTAAGTATGGAATAAGTATTATAAAGTTTGAAATAGAATATATTAAAATTGCATCTTAAAAATTAATCTAATTGTATTAATTTACATTATAAGTAAAATGATTCTTTTTGAAATTTATAGTCTAAATTTGTAAAAGAGAATAAAACAAATTAAAGGAACTCCTTGGAGACTGTTAAATGACAATTACGGAGTACCATTTAGTGAGCTCGAGTGAACGCAGAGCAAAGTAAATCTTCTTTTAAGCATTAAAACAAGGGGGGGGGGGGGGTTGTNAAAACACTAAACACATACTAAAAATATACTAATAAAATAGTATAAAGAACTTATATTTATAACTTATAAGCAAAAACTTATAATATAACTTAGTAAAAAAAACTTATGCTATAAACTAAAACAATATAACAAAGGGGGGGGGGTTGTTGGATGAAAAGTAAATATTTTTTTAGTTTTTTTTATTTTTCTTATTTTTCGGTTTTTTGATAAAATGGGGGAAAACAAGCTCTAAAGATAATCATCTCCTCGAACTTAGGTAACCTAAGAAACACCGCCAAGAACCTGAAACAAAATGAAAAAGAGAACAAACACAAATCGAACATTACACGATGTATTACGTAACTTACGCACTTAAATATAGGAAAAATCAATCAAAGGCCGAGTCGATTCATTTCCTTAACCACGATATGGAAAATTGTCACCTCTCCACACGGCCCGGAGTCATGCAATTCAAAGGTCCGTTTTGAAATATACCTTAGAACCCCAACTCTCTATTCAAGCATGAAAACATACTTCCACAATAGAAAAAGTTTATAAAAGAGAGAATCTATTATGCATTCAACTCTCATACATAATCTATTCACAAACCACCAATACCTTATGCATTTTAACAAACTTTTTCTCCTAATGATGAGCACATTTCACAAATTTCCATGAACTTCTCAAACCAATGACTTTTTTCTATTCACATAAATGAACACAACATATTTTCAATAAATTGAGAATTGTTTTTGAGCTTAAACAACCTTAATTTTATGAAAACACAAACAAACATACGAAAACATAACAATCACTCAATAACGAATTCTAAGAAAAATGAACCAACTTATGGGGCTAAGAAGTCCAAAATCATTAAAATCAACAAACACAAACACAACAAAGAATCACGTATGAATTCGGAGTTCATTTAACTACCTTATGGAGCTAAAATAGCTTCAACAAAAACCGAATTCCACATACCAACCTACTTATGAAATCAAATTAAACAATTCAACCAATTCAACAACGACTTGCTCAATAATTGAAGAAAAACTAGTTTGAATCAATTCTCGTTCATAAGGGATTTAATATAAACATTAAAAAACCATAAAAGAACACCAACCATTATTTTGGAATTTTTGGAACAAACTAATAAACAAAAAATGTAAAATTAAATTTAAAATGAACTTTTACATAGAATTAGAGGGAAAAAATAAAAATTGAAAAATAAGGGTTACCAATTGTTGAAGAGTATGATGAAATTAAAGAAATGGAGCTTGAAGGAGACTGCCCACCGCTTGCCGGAGTTTTTGCCGCCGCCGGTTCGCGTCTGCCGGCCGTCCGCTGCTTGGTTCCTGTTCGTTTTCCCCTCTGCTTCCCCTCTTCGTTTGTGAGTCGCGGCCTCCCAATTTATAGCAAGAAGGAGTAATTTACCGTTGAATTACTTCCAGTTGCAGCGAACATTGGAGGAGAGGCCGTTACTTCGCTGTTGCCCGATGAAGAAGAAGAGCCGCTGCTCTTCTCAATTTTTTTTCCTTGCGTGAGATCAAAAGAGGTCGGAGGAGGGGGGAGTGTTGGGCTATTTTTTACAATGATGGGTTTGGGCTCCACTCAATTTCAATCTTTTCTTTTTAAACTTTTTGATTTGGCTTTTTGCTACATTTATTCAAAAAATAAGATATCTGATAACTTGGGTTATGAAAAATAAAATAAAAATAATTGTTATGAAATTAATGATTGTTCATTTATTCAATTAATCAGGCATACTTTCTAGAATAGTAGATTAAGACACTAATTGATGAACACTAATTATGTACAGTACTTCCCACTTGTATTTGTATTCATACCAAGCCTCTCCACTATAAATAGAGGCATAATCCCTGTATTGTAATCACCATTAAGAATAAGAAGAAGAGTGAATAATCAATAAAGAGAAGAAATCAGAAATATATTATATCTATTCTCATAATCTCTGAGTGGTTTTTCTCTCATTTTATAACACGTTATCAGCACGAGTTTGCTCAAAATCCCAGAAACCTTGTGTTCTTCTCAGAAGTATTTCAAATGGCCAACATCACCAAAAGAGAATTTGACATTCTTGATTTATCCGGTCAAAGGTACCTGGAATGGAGGGTTGATGCACTTGCTCACCTTAAGGCTAATGGCCTCGAAAATACAATTGCTGAGAATAATACATCATCATCTCAGCAAAAGGCAAAAGCCATAATTTTCCTTCGCCACCATCTTTATGAAAGTTTAAAATCTGAATATCTATTGGTGGAAGATCCGAAGGAATTATGGGTTAATCTCCAAGAGAGATATGGACATCAACAAAAAGTCCTATTGCCAAGAGCTCAATATGAATGGATCAATTTAAGATTCCAAGATTTTAAGTCTGTTTGTGACTATAATTCTGCTATTTTCAAAGTCACATCCACATTAAAATTATGTGGACATAATATCACAGATCATGATATGTTGGAAAAAACTTTTTCCACCATGCATATGTCAAATGTGATATT